TGGAACTGCCAAAAAAATTTTATTTGTTTTCTATACTTTTTAGACACTTTCAGGCATGGGGTGGAACCAGGCACTTCCTCTACTTCCAGATCTGATTTTAGGTGCTTACTATACCAGGGAGGTTCCAAAAAATCAGGTTAGCAAAAAAGTTCGGAAAATTCAGCAGTTCCTCTCCCCTAATAAAATTTACATCGAACATGTTTTTCATACATTTTCAGAAATGAATTTTTTTTTGATAATCATGTCTGTATGGTGATGCAGCATTATGAGTACCTTTAATTTAAAATAAACTTAAAAGAACAACGCATCAAACACGCAGGAATTAGCAAGTATTAAGGTAAAAACGAATATCAACATCCAGGAAATAAACTGTATCTTTTGTTTTTCTGAAGAAAAAAATTCATTTAAAAAGAAGAAAATTTTCATACAAAATTATTCATCAAATATTTATGACGTCACAAAAATAAAAATTGATAATTTCCAAAATTGCAACTGTCGACATATTCGACAAACTATTTCTGATTTTCACCACGTACAGGATTTCAAGATATGGTACCTTGAAATTTGGACCATTTCTCTGCCATACTTGAGGTTTCTATTACACATATATGCAGTGAGTATATTTGAAAAGTAAAAGTGTCTGATTTTCGACACTTTTGTAATTTTTTTTTTAAAACGTGATATTTTTTTTCTGCATTTCATTGATTTACAATTTTAAGAGCGCTAGCGCCAGCGGTATATCAATGCAAAGTACCTAGCCACAATTTGGTAGCCACAACCGAGTTGCCATGACTAGAACAGCAAAAAAAGCACCCAAATCCGACTAGACATTATCTGAAATCGATCTCAACACTCTAATCATTACGCCACTGCTGCTTTTTCGCTGCTAAACTTTTGTATAACTTTTCGACACTTTTGTAGAATTTTTCGACAACATCTATTTGTACCGTACTTGAGATGACCCTAGTTGAGAAATAATTTTCAATTCTCAACTTGAAATCTCTCTGTCAAACATCAGGAACACCAAAAGTTGCGCATAAAACTGAAAAAAAATTATTAAAAAGGTATTTTTTTCATTTTGTATAAAAATTTATTTATTTAAATACTAGCGTCAATATTTAGTATAAAAATTATATAAGTAGTTAGTTTTAGCTCAAGAATAGTATTTTTTTAAAATTATTATGGACACAAAATTTCGTGAAATGTCTGTACGCAAAGGTTTTTGATTTTTAAATACTCATAAAATAAAGTTATGATGTCAAAAGGAGAAAATCTTACTCTAAGAATCCATCACCAAAAACGTTAAGCAGTATGCTCGTAAATTTTAACAAAAAACTTTAATCTATTTTAAATTTGAGTTTTTCTTTCTTATAAAAATCTAAAAATTAAGAAAATGAAAATATCTATAAAATTAATATTGCAAACATGTTATCATACTTAATCTAGTTAATTGTTAATTGGCAAGGAAAACGTTGTTTATGTAAGTTCCATCACTGCGATCGATTCTATCGTTCTATCACAAGATTTTTATTAACTACATTTTTAAAATTTCATTTCCCTTTAACGATTTTCAATTACTGGGGGTCCTCGATTTGAGTAGATTCTATTTGAGTAGATTCGATTTGAACAGAAATTTTTTTACCTACCAAAATATTCGATTTGAGTAGATTTCTTCCTGTTTTCTTCGATTTGAATTGTTTACAAAACAAATATTTTTGATAAAAACATTTCAGAAAATATTTTTAAAACATAAATTTTACTGCAATAAGCGTGAACTTATCATATTGATCGAAAAATCAATACTAAAATTACAAAATTAAAGTAAAAATTTAAAAAATCGATATAAAATTAACGGTTTTAAAAAGTTCAAATTCAAAAACCCTACAAATTGTTCGGTGAAATAACATTTGCAAAGCTCTCATATTTTTGTTTTGTTTCAAATACATATTTTTTGTGAATTTCTGTTTAAAAACAATATGAATATGCGTTGAAATAAATTAAGGTATCAAAAACACATAGGAAAAGCTAAGAAACGAGGTAAAATGTGCAAAAAATTATCAAAATTTTCTTTGTTTTGATACATTTTTTGGACTCTGGAACAAAACATGTGATTTTGTATGGATTCTTTGCCTCGATTTGAATAGATTCGATTTGAGTAGAAATTTTTTGGAACAAAACAACTACTCAAATCGAGGACCCCCAGTAGCATGATTTCAAGGGTGATTAAATGGATCGAAAATTTCATTCTTTCTTTATTATTAATAATTAATTGACAAAATTTTGGCAAGTATGGCCTTTCAACAAATTTATACGAAGTTCAATTCACTGAAATTGAGCAAATATAACTTGAAAAAAAAATTTAATTCATTTACACTTCTGAATTGTTCGTACTTCAGGTACTTATCATAATCAACGCCATCAATAATTTTATCCATAACATATTTAAATTTATATAAAAATAAAGTTAATCTATTAATTATGGCAGTTTTATCTCATTATGTTTACTTTTCGAGGACACGATTACATGTCAATAATGTCATGGATTGACAAGAATATGCTAACATTTATTTTAGACGAACTTAATGTCTGTTTATTTTATTTTTACTTATTAGTACGTTCTTTTTAGGGATTTCAATCCCGGGATCCCGAAAAACGGGATCCCGAGGTACGGACCGATTTTCCAATACCGCAATCACGGGATCAAGATATCCTTAGAATTTCTCACAAATCTTGTTAATATTAAAGTGTAAAATAATAATAATCAGCATGTTTTTGCCAAATAATTTAGGATTTCTTTTTAACTTAGTTTACTTTTCAAAGTGTTGATAAAAGTCTAGTCACATGTCCATTGCAATTTATAGGTTTTATGATCATTCGAATGTGTCTCTAATAAAGCTGCGGTAAAATCTATTATTTGAATTAAAAAGTAAAGTTATTAATTTTTTTTATAAAACAAAAGTTTTAAAAGTTTTTACAAAAGAAAAATCATAATAGCTTGACAAAAAATAAATCAAATTTTTACGTAAAATTTTAAATCATTTTTGATATGAAAAGCTAAAAGATAATCTTTATAAAAATTAACAAAAGCTTTCATTTTAAAGTTCAGAAAAGACAAAAAAAGGAAATATTGATTTATTTGAAAAAACTTTAACTTTCTGGTTTAGTAATACACATGATTTGTAATTGAAAGCTTGTTTAACGCAATTTTATACCAGTTTCTGAACCGAATCTAGACTCGGGTTTGAACCCGGGATCCCAGGATCAACAATTTCCAATACCGTAATCCCGGGATTGAAATTTTGGTCCGGTATTGAAATTCCTAGTTCTTTTTTAACACATTTTTCAAAACTTGTTTTCAAAAAAGTAGTTTAATAATGCACTTTGTTCGATTGCTCGGCAATCCTTGATCAAAAACTTTTTAAATCGTGGAGACCTCGGGTTTGTATTTTTGGCCCAGTTTAATCGTCTTATTCCAGTATTTTATTGCGGATTAGCTTTGAAAAAAATTCTGAAATTTTTAGCTTAATTAAAGTGTCTCATTCATGTTTGAGTAAACCGATTAAAATAAATGAAAAAATACATGATAAAAGGATGGTAAGTTATAGGAACTCAGTCTACAAAGTGGAAAATTTGGCTCAGAAAGTCAAAGTTTCACTTTTTTTCTTTCGAAACAACGCTCATTAGAATGAAAATTTCTCAACGACACTTAAGAGCACAACAACACTTAAGACTTAGACAAATGAAAGAAAACAACTTTTTGCATAAGCTACTTAATATAACCGTTAAAGTTCTATTTAATTTTAAATTTCTAAAAAAACGTTTAAATTTGAATTTTGGAAAAACCGTTTTTTAAAAAAATTGTTCACTAGCAACTATTGAATATTGTTAATTAAATTAATTTCTTAAATATGAAATATAATAAATTTAAATCTTTTGAAGGTGTGCTTATGTTATATTTTTCAAATAGATGCGTTTGAATTTGCTAACAAATACTGATTGCTGCATTAAAAATGAGCTAAAAACACTCGATAAAGCACGAGGATTTTACTACTTTTTTAAAAAACATATTAAGAACGTTTTACTATTAAATTTTTAATGAAAAAAATTGAAATTTCGATGAGTATCAAAAGTTAATTAAAGTTATATCGTGTTTTGTTTCTAAATTTATGCAAACAATTTACATTGAGAATTTCTTTTGAGATCTCTTAATATTGTCAATTTTGTGTCTTAATAAATATAAAACGAGTAAATCTCATATCGCTTTATTCATTAAAAGATATTCAAATAAAACAAAAAATATAATGATAATTTAACTTTAATAATATCGAATGAATAAAAAAATAAAATGCTTTATATCATTGAATCTAATTCTATTTTACATTTGTATAATTTCTTGTTTCTTAACATATGGCAATTACTTGATTTCTAATATAGGAAAATTAAATGGAAGATAAATGCAAATCTCCGAGATAAATATATTATTATGACCTACAATAATTTGAAATATTCTTTGAAATTATTTTTATTCCGCTTACCATCTTTAAAGTAAACAAATAGATGGCACTAAAAGTCATTAGGTTCTCAAGTTGAGTTTTCGAAAACTGTTTTGAGAGGATGTTTGTATTTAAATGGCAATTTTCAACTGTGTTAAAATTTTCAAGTTTTCAAAATCGACTTTTCTTAACCATTATTATGGCAAACATGGCATTTCAATTTCTTTAAAATTTCACCTAATGAAATTAAATTTAAAAAAACTTAATAAATGATTGAAATATCTTTTATAAATGTCTACGAGTTTTTAATATCAACTTTTTCTTAATGTAATTGTATGATTTTTTTCTCCATTTTATGGCAAAATAAATTCAAAATTCATAATTTTCTTTTTAATTTAGGTTTTTGATAAATTTAGAGAAAAATTGGCATTTTGGAGAAAAATTAACATTTTTTTTTCAAAAACTTTAAAAGATTTTTTTTTCTAATTAAAATTATTAGTAATTTTCATTTTTTAAACCAATTATTCTGATTTAATCGAATTATTGAAAACAAATTAACTCATACTAAGATTTTTTTTAAAAAAAACATTTCTTTCTGAAAATAAACAAAAATTTCAGTTGTAATTTCAATAATTAAGAATTTTAAGAGAGTCTTCACTTTTCTTAAATTGATCCATCTCTTACTAACAAATATAAAACAACGAAACATTTTTAAAAATTAATAATCTCAAAAACACACTCGAGTCGGTTATTGATATCTAGTGATTTGGAAGCTCCGTAAATGTAATGTCAAAAAGATCTTCCTCAATCTGTCGTACTTCTAGAAGAAACAAATCCTCATTACAATAATACGAAATCATATCATCGTCAATTTTCGCTGTAATTCTGTTAAAAAATATAAACAGTTAATTAAAAAATTAATAAAATAATAGTTAATAAAAGAGGTGATGAAATTGTAAATTAAAATCGAAAAGTTCTTGTTTCCTTGTAAAGTTTTTGTGTTGTGTCTTTGAGCCTTTAAGCTTAATAATAATTTTTTAGAATATTTAAAAAGCATTAATTTTTGATTTGTTTAAAAAATTAAAGCATTGTTAGCACAACATGAAATTCATAATATATTTATTCTTTTGCTTGGTTCATGTGTTCTTAAAATTAAATTAGAGTCATAGTGTTAGTACACATGATTTGTTTTTGTCTTGCAGAAATTTTATTTGAAAATCATTATTTTCATTAGATAATTTTGATTTATGGAATTTTCGCGAATAATGAGACACATAGACAATTACTTGGAAAAAGAATTTAAAATAAATACGAAGTAACTTACCCTTTCTTATTTTTTCGATAAATATTATTAATGCTTGATGGCGAAATTTTATATTTATTTTCAATCTGGAATTATTTTAAGTCACTATGAGTGAAGTTTTTTTTTTAAAATGAAATATTTCTTTAAGCGTAATTTTGAAACAAAATTTTTCTTGAAAAAAATTTGAAATAATTTTTTTTAAGCATCAGCAAATATTTTAATGAAAATCATCTGAATCTAGTAGCCAAACACAAATAAACTACCAAACTACTAATTTATAGAATAACTCATTTTTCTACACTTTTGAAACCATAATATAATACTTGATGAAAAAGCGAGCATTGAGTTTATTTTAAAATTAAAAATCAAAAAATCTTGTTCCGCCATTCGATTGTCAACGAGTGATAAGTTTATGATTTATATAGAAATATTTGACATTCGTACAATCAGCATGTAATAAAAAAACATAAAAAATGTTTAAAAACCCTATGCAGAAGAATTTAAAAGTATTATTGGAAGCAAGATTATAAATACGAAAAGAGAAAAAAAAACTTGATTTTTGTTAAGAAATTGAAATTTCGAATTACTTCCAAACTATTCATTCAAAAATATTATAAATTTACATTCCCTCTTAACATTGTTTTATTTGAAATTAGGTTTGATTTAGACATTTGAAAGTGATTAAGCATCATGCATCAAATATTTTATTATACCTTTATAATAAATAAAGACCAATACATCATAAAATTAGTGTATCGGGTAGAAAACCCAATGCGGTTATGTTAACACCGTATCAACAAAAGTCTTGTGGATAGACCAAGCTTTGCTCAGCATATGTTTAAAGGTATAAAGTTTGACGAGTCAGTTGAGCTTCGCTCACTATATGTTTGAAGCAAGTTTGAAGGTATAGACTTTATTTCTTAAAAATTAGTAAGAAAGGAAAGTATTTCGCTTTTTCTGAAGCGACGGCTCTTCCTGATTTGCCCAAAAGCGATTCAGCTCTTCTATAAAGCAGCATGGATCAAATGCAAAAAACTAGATGTCTCTACGATCCCGAATAGACAAAGAGCACGCTATGAGCGCGCTCAAATTTAGTGCTGAGCATGCTCGCGTGAGCGTGCTCTTTCATACGAAAAGTGATGCCACTACTTTACGCTAATGAGCACGCTTTTTGAGCATGCTCTGAGCACGATATTTTAACAAATTTTGAGCATGCTCAAATTGTTGTGTGACATGCAACATTTTTTATGTCATATGATGTGACATTTGAGTACACTCAGTGAGTATGCTCGTGAGTGTTCTCTGAGCATGCTCACTGAGTGTACTCACATTATTTAATAATTTTCAAAAAATTAATTTTAAAAAATTAAGTTTACAGTGGCAAAAACTCATATATAAACTATAAAAAAGTAAAATACTTCGAAATTGATCTCAAAATATTTTTAAACAATGGTTATAGTTAAAAAGTAGATAATTATATATAATTCTAGAAACTTTGACTTGTGAAGTATATAAAATATCATGAGCATACTCAGAGTATGCTCAATATATGTACTTTTGAGCACGCTCAATAAAATGTGAAATCTTAAAAAAAATGTTTTATTAGAGTACATTCACAATGTGCTCACGAGTATGCTTAAGAGTGTACTCAGGTGAGCATGCTTAAATTTGAGAATTGAGTATGCTCATGAGCATGCTCAATAAAATGTGAAATATTATAAAAATTGATTTTTTTGTGAGCATATTCACAATGTGCTCACGAGTATGCTTAACAGTGTACTCAAGTGAGCATGCTTAGATTTAGGAATTGAGTATGCTCTCGAGTATGCTCAATAAAATAAAAAAATTTCAAAAAATATGTTTTTTGTGAGCATATTCACAATGTGCTCACAAGCATGTTCAACTGAGTGTGCCCAGGTGAGCACGTTAAATGATGATTTTGAGCATGCTCATTAACGTGCTCACAAAAGTGAGCACGCTCTTTGTCTATTCGGGGATGTCTTGTTGTTGAGATATCTTGCTGATAAAGTTGCTTGCTTACAGAATTTTGCAATTTTCTAAGCAATGCCGCAACCAATTTTAAATCGGTTTTTTGGTGAAATTTTAGGCACAAACTTTTCATCTCTGAACATATTAAGCTATTTTGCTTAATTTACTCAAACAAATTTGAAAAACTGATTTCTCAATTTGAACAAAAACAATATATTCACACGTGAATACGGTGTGAAAATAAAATACCTGTCGTTTATAAAAGATTTTTTCTTTATCAAATTTATTAGCCAAAGATTAAAGTGCACATGCGTTTAGACCAACCAGTCATTCCATTATCATCAAATTTTTAACCAACCAAATTTTGTTAAATTTACACTTATGGTTAAAGAATAATCACCATTGCATAAAATTTGTGTTTATTTAGTAATTAATTGAAGGATACTCAAAAAAATATTCATAAATGTGTTATAGGCTCAATAGATGTGTATGTATATTTTTTGTATATTTAATCTTCTGTGTTTGTCATTTCATAAAAACTTCAAAACTGATACAATTTCATGAACTTAATATGATATTTTCTTATCAAATCGTATTAGGAAGTTCAGAAATAATATTTTACTATTAAATTTCAAAATTTAGATCAAGTTCATATCTTCTTTTTTTTCATAGCTCAGTTTAATTAGTAACACATAAAATGGATATTATAGTATGAAAAAATGTTTGACTACTTTATGGTTGAGTTTTATTGTGTTTGGTTAGAGATTATTCTAATTGAGGAAAAAAATATATTTTAATTTTGTTCCAAAAAACATGATCAGTTTGTAGCATATGATTATAATCCAAAATTCAGTCTTGCAAACTTTAATTACTATCTAAAGTATTTAACTTACCGCACTAATTAGACCATTTGCTGTGGGTGGAATAACATGCAAGGGAGTATAAACATCTTCATTATCTTGTCTTACGTATAACATCACTCGTTCACTTAGTGGTGGCGTAACACGCTGTCTCTTTATTGGTACTCCGTATTCACTTAAAATAGTACCATCCAACATAATATGCTCCTTCTTTTCACTATGCGTAATAATATGTTTAAATGTAAGAAAGCATCGAGAAAAATAAATAATCATTAATAATATTATTTCAGTTTACATCTTAAAATAAATAAAATATGTGGAAGTATGACAACTACTTTCACTTCTACTATCACAATTTTTTTTTCTTTTTAAAATTATATCTCTTTCTGATTAAAATTGACAACATTCATGTACGTTTTATATGACATTGAAATGTGATAACATTTTGAGATATTTTATTGTTGAAAGTGGTTTAAAAATATATCTAAAATTATATTATTTCGATTTTTACTCACGTAGCTACATCTGGTGGAAAATGGTTGTGAAACTTTAGTGTTGGAGTTGTGGGTTTGTTTGCAGAATGAAGTAAGAAAGGCGATGGTTTGATTCCATCAGGTCCTGTTAATGAATCAGCATCATGACCGTAAAATCCCTGTAACTCCATTGATGATAACTGCAATAATAATTTTTTTGTAATATTTCAAAACAATTTAACTAAATTTAATTTCGTGGATTTATATTTCACAAAATTTACTTTTTCAATGTCTTCGGCAGGTGAAAATAAAACTGGCGGTTTCGCAATATCACTCATCGAATAGAATTCTGATCTATCCGCTACTGGATGATATAATTCATCAAGCTTTTTACGTCCAGTTGCAGTCATTTTTCTTTTAGCAGCCCGTCTTTCTTCATCTCGAGTCTTTCTTTCAGCACCCTAAAAATGTTTAATTTGAGAAACGAAATATGAAATTCAATTATTTGTGAAATTAATACATATATAAATATACGAATATGTTTAACAACTTTACTAAATACGAATAAAGAAGCAATTATTGATAATTTTACAAAAATGTCAAAGCGTGTAAATCTATAAAATAATTTATCATTTTTTTCTTCTTTACATTAAAAACGCTGTTTATTACAGTAATAATTGATGCTAGTCGCTTATATTTCTCATTGAGTTTTTCTCTTTTTTATACAATATATTTGCTTGAAAATGCAAAATGCAAATGTAATATCTCATTTATACATAACTGCATAATACAGTTGTCTGTTAAATATTTTGCTTGGGTATAAATTTACTAAGATAAGTATATATATATATATATATATATGTCAGGTTAAAAGATAGTTCTATGATGGATTTTATTAACCTAGCATTTGTCAGATAACAAAAATAAATGAATTAAATTGAAGAAGAGAAAAAGCATCACATGTTTTTACATGTATGCATAATTCACTATCTCATATTGTGACGCCTTTCAATGTCATTAAATTTTTGTCAGCAAATATGTCACATAAAAATTATAGACATGATTCTTTTGCTACATAAAACTGCAACATGGATCATTCTTATAGCATATAAATATACTTGTTATGATAATAACTACTAATTCCTTTTTTAAAAATAAAAACATATATTTGAAACTAAATGCTTGAACAATAAACAAGTATATTTATATGCTATAAGAAATGAACAAATCACTTCTTGTTATCGTTGCATTTTGTATGGTTAATAGGCGCGTAGCCAGGGGTAAGGGATTTGGGTGACAAATCCCCCTACGTTGAAATTCTTCATTTTGCTAGATTCCTATTCTAAAAATCCACTTTTGTCGCACAGACATTATTTTTTGATTCAGAAATTAAAGGTGGAGGTGCTTCCAATTTTATGAAACAAGAAAATATTTAATATCTAAACTTAATATTAATGAATATAAAATAAAATCTCCAATACTAAATGATTTTCTTTTTTAACATAAACGCAGAAATTTATAATTAAATTTCAATATAAAATGAAATAAAAGTATATATAAAAGTATAATATCCGTTGCACTACATTAATGATCAATTTATTATAATTTTTACTTTTATATTAACACCGGATACACCGAGTATTTTAATGTCAATTATATTGCCAACAAGTGAATGTCCAATGACTGAAAATATTCTTGCTCCCGTCTTTAAGTAAATGATTATATTAAATAATTACATTACATAGGACGAGATAAGTAATAACAATTGCAATAGTTTTCAATAAGTGTGAAATGGAAAATCTTATTGCTTTTTATTTTTAAAAAATTAAAATTTTATTAAAAAATTATTTACCTTATCACAAAAAACTTTTATTTGACAGTATCCACGATGACATACACTCGTATCTCTTGGATCTTCAAATGTATCGACTTGTATATGCAATGGAAGTCCCTAAACAAACCAAAAAAACCATTAATAAATAAATAAAAATATAATGCAAAAAAATACATAAAATACTTAAAAGTTAAAATACCTTTACTCCTTTTTGACTACTGAAGTCTGTGCTCAAACATTGGATCGCAACATTTATCTAATGTTATAGAAAAATAATATTTAAATTCATTTTTAACCTTTGTTTTATGAACTTACTTTAGCAGAACTTTCAAGTGGATTCCAATAAACGGCAATTGCATTATGAGAAATTTCTTCAATCAAACCAACTAATCCTACAGAATTTTTTGTATCTAAAACAAAAAATATTACATTTTTTTTTGAAATTTATTTTATGTTTTTATTTTAATTCAAAAAAATAAATCAGGTATGCTTTATATAAAAGAAATTAAATTAAAATATTTATATATCATTAAATTGCTCTTCATTTGCTCATGACATATTTTCAATACGGAATGTAATATAAAAGAACTGTAAATGGATAGAAATGATGAAAACATTTCATTTGACGATTTATAAAAATAAAAATAACTATTAAGTTTTTATATTACAAAAAATTCCTATATTTCTCCTCACTCAATCTCACATTTTCACTGCATTTTCATTGATATTTATTTATTGAATGATGAAAACAAAATATGGTCAATGGAAGAAAAAAAAGCAGAATCACAACTGGCCGATAATTAAAATTGTTGTTGTACTTCTTTCATTCTCTTCATTCTTTTTATGACTACTTTCATAGATGCTGTGCAAAAATGACAACTTCTTATTTCTACATGGTACATACAGCAAACTTATGGTCATAGAGATTCATTATGAAAAATGTCGCTTATTTATTATAAGCAATTATTATCATTATCATCATAAATTACATTCTTAGTTGTAAAAATTGTTTAATTAGCAAATTAATCGATATTAGTAGCATAAGTTTTAAATGGATAACGTTATCAACACGCAAAATTGAAAAAATGGTTAATTCACTTCTAAAATGGTACTGTTTTGTATTTGTATTACAGGGTGTTTTTTTTCTTGTAGAAGACATTAAATTAAACTTATATGCATAATTTCAGGCCATTTGGTACTGCATAACTTCTTCGCATGTTGTCTTTAAATAAAATTCTTATTATTTGCTTACCTATTTGTTAAGAATGATTTGTAAGGCGGTAAAGCCTTAAGATATAAGATAGGTAAGGCGCTTGGCTCAAATTTGGGATGGTAACTCGAAAGGAGTCGGTTCGAATCCAGCCATTTCCAAATTTGTTCTTTTTCGGAAGTTTAGATACTTCGAACGCTTAATGTAGGAGATCAAGGAACGGGTCAGGCTTAAAGTATAGCGGGAGAAATAGGAACGAGAGCTACAAGATTACCCACAAATGGAATATTGTTAGAACGGACCTGAAAAGTATCACGTCACGTCTACAGAAGATCGAAACGAGAGCCTTGTTTTATTTGAAACCTTGATTTGAAGATGAACAGTTTGATCCTACATAATTTTAATTCATATGTATACAAATACAAAAGTGTAAAATGTGAATTATTACCGGAAAGTATGTCGTCTGCACCAAATGGCCTGAAATTTGGCATAAAAATGAAATTTAATGTCCTCTACAAGAAAAAATACATCCCGAGAGCGGAATTCAAAGAAATTCTATTTTCGAAGTGAAATAACCCTTTTTTTTATTTTGCCTAGTAATGCATTGGTCATCATTTTTTATTAACTTCAAAAAAAAAGCTAATTTTAACAATATCTATGAAAATTCCAAAACATCAATACCCTGAGATGTATAGAATATGTATGAAAGTTTACTTTTAATAAAAGTTTTAGGTAAACAAAAGAATGTTGTAAAAGGCTGTGTAAAATAGAGCATCTTTTTGTAAAAATCTTTGAGAGTACTCTTATACTAAATACAATATAATATACAGTTCGACAAAACACTTTGTTGTCAAGTCGGTTACTTAATATGTGAATATGTGAATATGTCTTAATATGTGGTTGATACTAATAAATTTTACTATTTTATGTGGAAGTTAAAATTATTTAAAATTTGAAAACTTACCAGCATCTAGAATCCGCTGTTTAACAGAATGTTGTCTTGCATGCCAAAACTGCCAAGCTTTAATTTCATCCTCGGGACTCTTTTCTTCTCGAAACATCAGCATTATAACACTCTACATAAAATGACATTTTATTAATTCAAATTCTTCAATGCCAGCTTGTGTAACTTTACAGTATTATTTCTGGATGATGAAATATTCAGATTATATAGCTACAAGATCAGGTTCCATTTATAATATAATTTTTCAAACTCGCATTTTGTGAAAATATCAAAAATTCAAAATTTTTGATGAAAAAATATTAAATATTATTATAATTAAATATGCATAAATATTTATTATAACACCCTCCTTACTCCATTATATTATTTTAATATCACATTTAAGATCTTGAGACATTTCAATACCTAAACAAAAAAGTTTTGTTTGAATCAGATTTTTTAATTTTCAACACGTCTTTTAAATTCATTTTTACTTTCGTATTTTTAATATTTTTTTTTGTTTCATAACAAACGAAAATTGTTCATCAAATGTTTAATTAACATAAAAGTAACTGCATCCACTATGCTCAATCTACCTTTTATTAAATTCAAATTTCAGCAAGTAAATATAATGTTGTTCTCAAACTGTAATTGATTCACGGCAGAGTAAAAAAGTTTTGATTTCAATTTATCATAACAATGAATAAAAATGATATTTAAAGAAAATAAACTAAGGGTAAACGAAGGCAGCGTCATAAAAAATTTGAGTTATAGTTCAATAGAGCTAAGATTAAATTTAAGCAAATGAATAATTATATTCTATTATATCCTTATTTTTTAAATCATGATGATGCTTATCGTGCAATATATTTATACAAAAGTTGAATTTTAAAATGTTTCATCTCATGCTTAATAAATCTTCATCACTCGAGAATGAAAAGTCAGTGAACATTATTTATGCATGATATTTTTTTAACTTAAGATGCAATCAATTTGTTTAAAGAACTTATAACGTCACCCTTCTGTTTTGCTGACAATTCTCTTTTTTGTTTGTTTTAAGCCATCTGCATAGAAAATTCGTTACATGCAAATGCATCCTGAACTTTTTGATATCTGATTGTATCAAACATTTTTTATTAAAAAAATAAAAATTTTTTTTAATAAAACTAAAATTTGACAAAAATATTTGTATTTTGCTTACTGCATTACAAACATAAATTAAAATTTCAAGAAGTCAAGCATTATTTCTAAATTTGAAAAGAACACGATAAGACTTTAATAATTCAATGAGGATGAAAAAAGTCTTTAGCTTACAGATTTTGGAGTCATCATTTTTTCATTTTTAGTATGTATAGTAAATATTCCGATGAAGGAAAAAAAACCCTTTATTCTAAAGATCAAAAAGGTAGAACAAAAAACCCCTTTCAAAAATAGTTCAGTTCAATCCTGCTTAAATTTTTTTTTGTCGCAGTACGTTTTTAACATGGTGATGAGTTTAACAATGCGTACAGCAATCACAACAACACATTGAAAATAAAATGATTTGATGAGATACATACAATTGTGACAATTTTTCATGTATTCATCTTGAAGTAAACAACTACTTATCATATTTTGTAATAAAAAAAATATTCCTAAAATTTTGTGTCTTTTAAAAAGCATTTTTCGAAATAATTCAACTGTTAGCATTAAAGTTTAACTGCTAACTATAGATCCTTTAGAAAAAAATTGTTGTGACGGATTCAATGAGTTGGAATTGTTAATTTGTGTGTAGTTTTATAAAATTTAATTTCAACATAGAATCAAAAAAAAAATATAACGATAAAAAAATTACCTTAACTGTTTGATTTTTCAAAGGCTTATCAGAATCAGGTATGTATTCTAGCGTAATGCCATAAAACTGTCCTTTATTAATATATGTTATTCTATCATCTTCACGACGTTGCGATGAGCTTATTGGCGATTCTAGATGATATTTAAATCCTACATTTGAAAATCTAGAGAAAAAAAAATAATTTTAATTACGTGTTAAGTATATAATTTTTAATAGATTTGAGAAATTATCACATCTAACATTGAAGGTGATTTAAACTAATTTAAATTATATAACTTAAGTGGCTAAACGGGAAAAATAATATTTTGGATTTAATGAATAAGGCTTGTAATTACAAGATGAACACATAAATCAATTTTAATTCATTTGTTTTTATGGGTTTTTGTCAACATTTTTTTTAATATTTAAGCTAGTTTTACGTTGTGTATTTTCATACACATATACATGCAGTATATAAGTATGAAATATTTGCATTATTTACTACATGTGCTTAGTTTGTAAGAATGGATAAGATAAATGTTTATTGCAAGAGAAATTTTTGTTTTATAAAAGCTTGAAGCTACCAAACAAATTGGATTTGAAAAAAGTAAACGTTATTAAAAAACCAATATAAGCTTATAAAGAATTTTGATGCGTGCTAATTTCCTGTCGGAAAATATGTGCATTCAATTTATTGGTTTAATTTTAAATAAATCGTTAACTAGCTTATTTAATGTAAATTTGGTATGTTACAGACTTTTGGAAACATTCAAGAGTGTCGCAGCACATAGAAGAATAGTTATTGAAGTTCCTAAGCTGATAATTAATCATTGTATTACTTTGAAAAGAAAAGAATATAAAAGTCAAGAATACTTACATTTTTGGTATTTGAATTTTGTCGGCATCATTCTGTCTTCCAAAATCGTGCCATGGTCTTGATGATCGTGTTGATGCTGGATTACTACTAATAGATGTCGTGGGACTGTTTTGACCACCATGCACATTCACAACTGTCCTTTGAATCCCAGTCACTGATACTGGAATTGCACCATTATCTATGGGCTGACAGAGCTCTGTGTAATCAAATGACTGGAACAAAGTTAAATATAATGTAAAGTTTATGTTAAAACATTTGAAATATGGTAAAGTAATTCTCAATATCACCCTATTTACTTATTTTCATATTATTCCTTTAAATTTTCACGATTATATTAAAAATATGCAAAATAAACCGGAAATGCTTGGAGTCGCATCAAAAATTTCTTGTAATGTATTTATTTTTCAAATATAAAACGCCAATTTTTCATTATTAAATTAATTTCAACTAGCAATGAAGCATACATAAATATCATAAATTTGAAAAAAATTACGATTAACTAATTCATATGCTTTTTAATTAATAAAACGCACGAAATGCAAGATTAGTATAAAATTGTAGTATAAATATTTTTAAGATAAAGACAGAAATGAAAAGTAAATAATACCAAAGCAAGAAAAAACTGAGATACAAGTTTCCAATATGTTGAATGTAATGCATTTACTGTTAGCAACGAGATGATATTAAGCACAACAGTGCATAAATATAAGAAAGAAAAAAGTGAGAGGCGAAAGTGAAAAGTTATTAATTTCATATATGCAGTTAATGATCAAATGATAGTATGAATGTTGATGAAATGGAATTATAAGAAAAAATGTAGAATCTTAACTAAGTTTGAACTTTATCAAATAAAAATATTTAAATTGGAAAATCACCTGTTGAATATTATTTTGATCTCTTGGTGTAATTGATTCAGCACCAATTCCAGAGTCTGGGCTTGGAAGATCAACTGTTAAACCTGTAGCGGATGTAATTGACTTTGCGTACATAGATACCGCTTTCGGGTGTGTAGTCGTATATCGTCCTTCATATCCAATAGTGGTTGTGGGTGTTTCCGTATCAGTATAGATGGCTGCACTACGTGAAGGCACATATCCTTGCGCATCAAAATATTCTCTATATGCATATGGCTCTGTTATAAACGTTGTATTATTTCCACTCGTCGCACTGAAATTTTTTATTTGTAATATTATTTTTAAAGATTAACTTAACAAGTAGTTCTAGACTTACGGCATTCTGGTTGTAGTGTAATATTGAGTTGATTCATAATGATTTGGACTCGGTGTGTTATTGACTCCAAGTGTTGTTCCTGAAGTTGTTTGATGGGCACCCTAAATTCGTAGCATTATTAATTAAGTTTAGTAAATTTCGAAAATCAATTTATTTTCATATAAAAATATATGTATCAAAAATGTATACTGATGTGTTTTGTGACAAAAAATTTGTGTATTTCCCTAAGACAAATTTTAAAACAGAATCCCTTCAATTTGTGCATTTCAGAATCAATAAAACTTAGTTGACGTAATATATTAAAAAAATAATGATAAGTTAAATAAATAAACGTTGGAAACACTACATTTTTAGAATATAGAAAAAAGATTCGGAATCGTTCACTTATGAAGTCTCAAAATTACGGTAATTTTAATGCAAAAAAAGAATATGAAATTTTTTTGAGAATTTCTTTTGCTTTTTTCTCACCCGCTTCCCACGGACATCATAAGTCATCGATCCTTTATTCCAATATCTTAATTTTAATATTCTCTGAGACATCGATTATAAGATGCATGATAGTCTTGTTAATTAATAGGCACAACAAAAACACCAGAAATACCAAAAATCAAGCCTCCAATAAAACTAGCATAGTTAATAATTCATTATTTTAAAGAAAAATGTTAATTATGATTTAGCTAAAGAAAAATAAAGTTTTTTTGTTTTCAAAAAGTAAATTTTTTTAAGGTTTTTTTTCGCTTTTTTGAAATATTGAGCAACCATAGTCAGTAGAAAAAGTCTATAGCATTTTCAAAGTCATGAACTTGAATTCATCTTAGTATTAAACTGATAGTTTTAAAATTTATTTAAAATTTTCACTTAAATTTCTTGATGCGTCTCTTTTTATAACTTATTTTAATTTATATTGGCGACTTGAAAATAAGTAATTAACAAAAATTTGCAGTTTTGAATTTCAAATAATTTGCGTTTTCTTGATTGTCTTTTTTTTAGAGCAAGAACCTACATTTTAATTGCTATGAATAAAAAAGTTACCTGCAGATAAATTTGTGTTCCTCCAGAGTACATTTCTACGGGACTTCCAGGACTTGGAGGTTGTTCCTTTATTTGCAAAGATGTAGGTGCCGGAGATTGTACAACTAGAACCTATAAATCGATGTCACATGTGCGTTAAATATTTTGTACATCATTATTGTATTGAAGCATATCAGCACAAAAATTGGAGATTTTCATTTGTATGAAAGTTGTTGAATAATTTTTTTTTGTTATTGAAGTGAAGTCCAAAGGGAAATAAAGAAAAGAAAAAAAAATCAAAGAATTAATTTAAAAAATAAATTCGTAATTTATATAAAAGAGATTGGAAAAAAAGCAAATTGAATTAAATTAATTAGCTATTCGAATTGCTTTAATAATTTATTTATGAACAGATTTTTAAATTTATGCTTTGTTTAATTGCTAAAAAGGCTGACAATGGATGTTGTATAAAAAAATATTTTATTTTAAATATTTTTCAATCAAATTGGTTTTTTTTTCTAAGTTAAGTTTACAAATAATAGCTGTTATTAAAATCAAAAATATTTGCTCGACACAGTCTACTGATTTTGATGTCTTTACACTAAGTTTAATTAGTTATTGATAAGTTTTCACCTTATTGTTTCTTTTTTTATATTCACACTCTTGTCTTGCATCTTATTACATATTTATTTTATATTTAAAAAATTAATGGCTTAATATTACTTAAAGCATTCTCATGTATGTATATTGCAAAGTACAGTGAGCTTTAATAATGCTCTTATAAATGCATTTATGAGTTATAATTAATTAATATAAAGTGGAAATTGCAAGGTCTCCGTAAAAATTGATTAGCATTTTGATTGGAATTCATTGGCTAACTATGGCTATACAATTTTTATTTCCAGCTTGCCACACATTTCCTCAGCGTTTCTCTCTACTTGCATTTACGTATAATGTTTCAATGTTAACTTTGCATCTTGCTGTGGAATTATTTTAATTTTATGCATATAATTTTTTCTCGACTACATTGTTGTACATCTGACAGTTAAAAATCCACATCCAATTGGCAACTTAATGCGTAAAGTAATAAAAATTTCAATATTTGTTCTAAAATGTGTTTATCAACTTCTAATTTAAAAAAAACTATGTAACAGATTACCTATAATTTTTTAATACTTTTTATACAAACTAAGTTTTCATCCGTTTTCAAAATGTTTAATTGTTTTTTATTCGAAAACATTTCAGTGCTTTAAAATAATTTGGGCTTGGAGACTGTTCGCTTGCGTTACACAAAAGGATTTATTATATTTTTTTAAAAAAAGTATTGGTTTATGAAAGCACATTCTAATAAAAAAAGAGTTTTTTAATGATGATTATCAATATTCACTATCCACTTATTTAATGCTTTAAGAAAATCTGTAATTAAGATGAATTGACCATAAACATAATAAAAACGGCGATCATTTTTTCCATTGCTATCATCTCCGTGCTTGATAATTTATTGTGTAAGTAAAGCAAAAATGGAAAAAACTGTATTTTTGATCGCAATGTGAGAAATCAAATTTGCATTTTGCATGTTTCGGAAACTTTTATCTCCTTCTCTTATGATCGTAATGTTTTACTACTATCTTGGAGTGATTGACTGCAATTTATTAAATGAATATACAAGAGCGGTAAATATGTTTATTCCTTCTTTTTTTAATAAAACGTATCACTGCACAAGAAATATATTTAAACTTTTTTTATATAATCTTTTCATGAAAAACGTCACTTACGACTAGTTATTACTCACAGTTTATTGTATTTCAGTTATTCTTCTTATTCATTTTGTATTTTTTTAAAATTTACTGATTCAATCTAACTTTTTTAAACACTTTTGTTTATTCTATTTGGTTCGCGATATTTTCAAATTTATTTTTTATTAAAAAGTTTCACTTATTTTTAAACTTATTTATCCAAAGTGAAAATATTTTCAAAATAAAGGAACTCATATTTCAAAATTAAATCAAAAAAAAATCACAATAATTTTTTTAATGTATTAAACTGTATTAAAATTATTGAAAATATAACAACACCGTTGTATCCTCGGCAACGTTTTGAATTAAACTAAAATATAATTCAATAAAATTTTATTATCATCGTCAGTGCTATAAAGGCAAAACTAAAGAATAATAACAGAAGAAAAATAAAAAAAACTCAACAGAAGTCGGGTAGAAATAAAAAAAATAATAAGTAGTTTTTATACCTCGACATTCTTATGAACAATAACACTATTTAATATTATGAAACACTTTTTCTTGTCTTATGCTATACACATTATGCGTTTCTCTTTATATCTTGTGTTACTTTTCATGAAAGGGACCGAGAGCCTCTTTGATTCATTCATTCTTTCTATTCCCTTTTAAACAAACTTTTTATGTTATTGTGTAGTATTTTACATACTAGAGTTTTTTCGCCGTTCTTATTCATTCATACTGGAATCTTATGTTTACATTATAAAACATTAGGGTTAAATCATTTTTGCTAAATAAAATCTCATCCAAATCGGAAATACCAAAAAATTCTATTGACTTAGCATATAATGATAAAATTTTAATTAAATTAATCTGTTCAAAAAAATAATGCAGGATGAAAATATTAAAACATTGAAAGTCTTTTCAAATACAAGTTAATTATCAATTATTAAAAGTCAATTTCAGTCATACCTCAAATAAAAATAAATATATTTTTGGGAAATATGTGCAACAGTTGTTACTAAAATGCATAATATGGTAATTTTAAAAAACGTGTTTGAGTTCAATAATATAACAATTGTAAAAAATTGAGAAGGAAATTTTTTTTTTTGCATAGCATTTATGTTACTTATATTTTTAACATTTGGTATTTTTTTTGATAGTCTTATCTAATTAGAAATTAGAACTCATTTTTACACAATGTAATCTCACATCATAATATTATTTGATTGAGAATAACGATTTGAAGATTATATTTACTCACTTTCTGACTTCGCGGACACTTCGGGTCAATACGAAGATCTTCTGGTTCACGTTTGACATTAATAGCTTGTTGTGATTGGTGTGAACCGAGTAATAGCCCTTGGATTTCGTTTTGTGAGAGACCTGGAACATCAAGTGGGGCGTGACCATTTACTTTTGTACTGTAAATATAAGCATGAAGAAAAATAAGTTTTATAAGTTCGAACAAAAATTAATTTTGTAGTTTATATTAAAAAGATCTATGCTAATATTTAAAACAAAAAAAAAATGTTTTGCAGCCCTTTCAAACGAGTATTTTTTAAAAGTAATAATGTGGAGTTTTACCAATCAAAGAGATTAAGTATTTGTATAAAATATGAAGAATAGTTTTTTTTTATTTTTAAATTACAAACAGTTACAATAAGTTTCATTGTATTTATTTTTACCTTGTTGACCATTGTAAGCTATCTTTTTCAGTATTAATTTTATAGTATTCATATGTTGTGCCATTTCCGTTATGCACTTGATGTATTTGATGTGAGATATTTGATTGTAAAGGATTTAAATTAATATTATTAATTAATGAATTGTTATTGTTATTATTATTTGAATCTTCATCGTTTTGGATTTGAGAATTAGTTCCTGAGATTTGTAACATGGCAGAAGTAACGGCAGTCAATGGACTCTCAAAATAACGTGATGAGGCTAAGTAATTTGAATTGGATGTTACAGGCTCTTGTTGAGATGATGAGTGATCATTAGAAGAATTTATAATTCGCCGTCTAAATTATTAAAAATTAAAAAATTTTCATGAATCATTCAGATCAAGTCGATGCAATAAAACTGAAATCTCACTTTCAACTGTATTTACTTTATTTTTTACTAAGTTAAGGCTAAATGCATATGTATATGTTTAATTAGAAGATATTTTTTATTTAAAAAAAATAAAACTTTGTTTTAATTTTTTTTGGCTCATAATATAGACGTGGCATAGGGGGTTGGTAATAACACCCAATTTTTAAAAAATAATTATTCTCAAACCCTTTACCCTAAATTTTAACCACCTTTGGTCTTTGAAATAGATCTAAAGTTTATAAACTAGTTGTTTTTAAAGTGCAAAAAAAATATACCAATATATATCAATTTAATAGGTTAGAAATAAATTTTAAAAATTTCTCTTTTTGTTTTTTTATATAATCAAATTTCTAACTTCAATAGTTAAAGAAATGAAATATGATTCCAAAATGCAAAAAATTATCAAATAAATAAATCCAAATGACATATCATACGACTTAAAACATTTTCGTCTTGATCACATTAAACTTCAAATCATGAAACATGAGCAAAAGGTAAACTAAAAAAGACGTAGTGACTTGTAACAGGTGATAACGCAATTTTGGAATCTAAAAAAATTAACTTTTGCTTGTGACATATCATAAAATTTCAAATTGTGTTTGTCTGTACGATGATATTCTGCACTAAAACACGCCCATTTTTTAAAAATGATAAAAATTAAAATTTTATGCTGATATAAATTTTTCTTTTTTTAAATCAATCATTAATTTTCGACTTTTGAAATTATGCGTCACAACTTGAAAGGATGTAAAATTCAAAACCCAATTAAGATGTATAATTAAAAAAATATTCGTTTGTGACAAAAATTTCAATTTATTAATGTAGGTTTGTTTTCGATTTTGTTATATTTCCTTATTAATAGTTATGTATAGCATACGCATGTCATAATTGACCCTCGTCAATCAAAATTAATCAGATCGAAAATAAAATAAAAATGTCCATACATTATTTTTGTTTTCTTAAGCCTTTTTAGAGGTAAACGAGAATGAATGTTATACGATTGCCCTGAATTTTACTTATTATATTTTAGGTGACAATTTCATTTGACAATCATTTGGAACACATATAATACATTAAATAAATCATTCGAACGAAAAACAATTTTATTCCAGAGCCTTACATAACAATAACAAAGTTAAAACAAAAATAAATAAATAAAAAGAAAATAATAAAACCCGAATCACAACCAGAAATCTAGTCATCCACACACTCTGTTCTCTTTTTGTCTCGCTCTTTCATACCTTAAGAAAGCAGCAAGTGATATTTTATTGTTCTTATTATTTTTCACCTAAAGAGAATGATAAAAATTCAGAAACAAGACACAGTAAAATCAGGTTATCACACAAACAAGTTTAAAGTTAAAAATTTAAAAATGTCATTTTTGAATCAATATTTTCATAGAATATTTTTTTTAATATTGATAATATCTTCGAGGAATGAGCTCAAAGAATGAAAAATGAAAAACAATTGATATTCATAGTTAATTTTTACTTTTTGCCATTAAAAGCCTTAACGAAAACGGTTTTGGAAACAATTAAAGTAAAATAAAGTCGGTCTTAATTTAAAATAGTGTGATTTTCAATTTTATCCCTTTCAACTTTTTTAACCTAAAGAGAACCCTTTTGTTTTCATGAACAAAAACGAAAAATTTAATAAAGGGTGAAGCGTTAGAATATTTATCTCAAGCATTTTATTCATTATTTTAGAAATGTCTGTTAATACAACAAATAAAATATGAAATATAATGAGCAATAAAATGAGAATAATAAATTCATAAAGAATATCTAGAAAATTATCAATTGACTACAATTTTATTTGTTAACAAAATAAAAAAAATTATATCAATGGGCATTTTATTGTTTATCAAACGTAAAAAATCATTATTTTTATTAAACTCTCAAATTTACTTAAAAATCTTTTTGAAACTCTCAATTGCTCTTTTTTTTCTTTTGAAAATCACATACGAGTTTTTTTTGCCAAATCCTATCATTAATTTTTTTATTTTTTTAAAAAAATTCTAGCCTTTTTTTTTAAAAAAAAAATCAAAAACTGAGGACACTAATGCGTCTCTTTTGCTTTAATATATTAATGAATTGACATTTAAGACAAAGCATATATTAAAATACCAGAAGAAATAAATATATATTTTTAAAATTTTTATATAAAATCGAGGTAAAGGTCAATCAGAAAAAAAGCTGTTATAAAGTGCATTGATATTGAAACTTTATTGCACAATTGATTTTTATTTTATGTGATTATTAGCAACATACTTTTTGTATTAATTTTGGTCATTAGCCAAACAAGTGTCATTGTTACAGGATGCTGATTCAAAAGCGTCATAATTATCATAATTGTCTCATTAACAGGAAAAAACTAATCCATCGATATGTAAAAAAAACACTTTATATATATGCCTTAATTATTATCTCAAGGAAACTTTGTCGTTTTTTTTTTTAAATATTTTTCAAATGAATTGGTATAAGTGAATATGAATAGTGCGAAATGTTCTGATAACCTTGAAAAGTTGTCTGTAAAATTATTAAAAGAAATAAGGTTGCAGTGTAGTAGTATTTTAATTGTATATTGACAATACATGTAAAAATTTAGAATTAATATCATCAAAATATTTAAAATTTACATATTCTAATCTTATTTACAAAATTATATTTTTCCTAAATGACAAAAAAATATAAACTGAATATTAAAATCCACTTATTTAAAAACCTCATTTGGGAAATGGCTAGCCGAAGCATAGTAAGATTAAGAAATCATCCATAATTTTTTATTGAAATACACAAAGATAGCAATAAACTAAATTAACTTATTAAAATTCAAAAAAACCTAATAAATTAGGCATTGAAATTTGTATGTAGTGTGTTGTGATTAGAAAAATCACAAAGTTTATACAAAAACATTGTGAAAAATTCATCTCGATGAAATGCTGACAGTGGCGAAATTTGAGAAAATAATAATAAAATTTGATATACAAATCAATCAAAAGTTACAACTTTTATATCTGAGCATTAACTGCATCAAATCATCAACAATGATTTTATTGAAATAAATATTGGTTGAAAATGAGTTTATTTTATAAAGGTTTTAAAAAAAAATCTACCTATCCTCACTTAGCCAATCATTGTCGGGATAGGCCAACTGAAATGAATTTCCGGTATCCAGTTTGACAAAGTTTATATTCCCTTCTACTTGCATAAATAAATTAGACTACTAGTTATTACACTAAATCTTAAATTTGACTTAACAAACAGAAACTAATGATCTAATTTAAAGCTCATTATATAATTCAATTATTTTTTAATTATTCAAACGAAATGTTTATTAAATTTATATTTCACTGCGTTTCTTTAGTTCTTTACTGTTATTTTCTTCATCCTATTTTTCAACACATATATTCATTTCTTATTCATTCACAATATTCCAATGTAATTGATTCATTTAAAACTTGTTTTTAATATTTGCATGAAGTAATTAGGGTTGCACCTTATACTTCTGTTTTCAACACGGCACAAAATCACTACTGATCACTAATAAATAAATTTGCACAGTAAATATGGCCACGTGTATTGTAGTAAACCTGACTTAACAACAGTAAAGAATATTTTGAAATTTTTTTGCTATGATATTTTTCTTTTCTAATTTCACCTTTCTACATTCTATCAAAAAAAAATATAATAAATTTTCATTCAAAATATTCCGTAATCAGTTCTATGCCTTCTGACAAACAGATATAAACTGAAAACCGCTTTTAAAAATTTTCTTCACACAACAGACAGCATATAATGTTGACCGTCAGAAAACAACAATAATAATATAAATAATAATAACACAGGCATAAGACAGGGGTCTGCAGAGAGCTAAACATCGATAGCAATGAAGAGTTTTAAGACGAAGAGAGTGTATAATAATAAAAGCAAGTATTCTCTACAAGTAAAATTCTCTTTTTAAAGCACAGCTCTGTTTTTTTTTTATTGTGAGACTCCGACTTGTTTTAAAAATATTTCTACCTGTTTTTGTCTCACGCTTTTTTCTTCCTACTGTAAAGTACAAAGCATCTGATTTTAATTAAATAATCGAAATTTAAAAATTAATTTCATATTTGGTCTTATTTATTTAAATAGATTTTCATTTACTGAAAAACAGTTGCAAATTTAAACTAGTAATGCGGTGGTCACTCGTGATCGACGGAAATGCATTTTCCCCGAACAGAATTCGAGATTTGGCATGAAGGTTTTTGAAATTTCTATGAAAAATGTATTCAAAAAATTTTAAAACTCCGTGAAAAAAAAGCTTAAACTAGAGGAGGAGATAG